TATCGACAGTAATATATTTTCTATATCTCTGTCAAGTGGCATTAACAATTTTACTATTTTTTATTTACAAGGAATTTCTCATCATAAAGAAGATTTTTAATTTCCCGAAAAAAAAATTTTTAACGAATTTATATGATATTTCAAAAAATTATCTCTGATGTAATATTCTAAATATTTTAATGTCGATAAAATAACAATAAAGCAAACAAATTCATACTATATTCCCTGTATAATATTTATTATGTATAGAACTAACTAATCAATAATATTAATTGATATAAAAATTATTATATAATTATATTAAGATATTAAATAATTAATTATTTAAACATAAGTGATATCGTTTTCAGTATGGTTACAAAAAAAAGTTTTGTAAGTCTACGATCTGGCCACCTTTTGAAACAAGAAGAAAAATTTGATCTATGTACAAAAATTTTAGAACTTTTGTGAATATCCCTTTAAAACTTTTTTCATATGAATAATATTTGAGTGAAAAATATGACAAATTAAAGATGTGCTTAAATATGTTATTTCCTTTTAATTTAGGTATAATTTACTTTTTATAAATAGTATAAAAATTAATTTAAAAAGATTTATATCATTCATGTAATCATTATTTTTATTCTTGTAAGTAATTAACAAATTAAAAAAAATAATGTAAATAATATATTTATATAAATAATGTAAACGATGCTGTTAGTGTATAATTATAAGATAATATCTATTTCAAAGATGTTTTTATGTAATTGGTTTTTTGCGATAGATAAGATAAAAGCTCTTGAGATATGATGGCCAAGCTTTTACGAACGTAAATCTAATAAAGCTCAAGGTATGGGAAAATATAATAGATGAGTGATCAGTTATAGATATACAAGGAAGACCTATAGATGTAGAGAAGGACAAAGTGGACTAGAAAAGTATTTGATATGCGATATTATCCACGAACCAATAAGAGAACTCAACGTGCGGGAGCGGTAGTTCATTTCAGGTTAACATGCTTGAGCCAATCATATATTAATATATATATATATATATATATATATATATATATATATATATATATATATATATAAAATATATAAAATATAGAGAGAGAAAATAACATATTTAAAATATAGTGAGAGTAAGAATACAGAAATTGTGGTATGATCGCATTTGACTTTATTCGAATATGAAAGCTTACAGGCGGAGAAATGTCTGCGTACGCGTACGAATGGATAAGCGATGGCAGTTTCTCATTTATAAAACCTTATTTATATACTGCGCAAGAACTCTGGTTTATTATCTTTTATTATCTTTTTTTTTTATCTTTTATTATTTTTTATTTTCTTTTTAAAATTAATGTGCAATTGTGTACTTCATTGATGTACTGGAGACTTTGAGTGAATTCCATTATTATACATTATGATACATTGTTCTATAAAAACTTCATTATTAATCTTACTGAAATTTATAATTTAACTAAGTTGTTATATAAATTTTTTAATTTTAAAATTAATATGAAAACAATTAAATTCAGGAAGTTCATATCATAAAAACTATAAAACAAGTAATGGAATTTAATTTAAATACATCAAATTTTATTCAATTGATCATAAAACGAGCGATTAATATGACTAAATTAAAATTAAAAAAAAATTAATATTGATTAACTAATTTATATTGAAATAAAATTTCTGCTTACTATAAAAAACTTGTATATTTATAACATAATTAAGTTAGTTGTATCATAATGAGAGTAATAAGAGTAAAATAAAAAGAAAACAATTTAATTTTTGATCGTTTTTTATATTTTTATTGTAATTTATTTAGTAATGCTTTGGATAAAGTATCTCTTTAGCATTGTAAATTGTTTATTAATTGTTGGAAATTGTTGTATTAATTGCTCAGAAAAGTGTTAATTTTTTATATTAATGGTATACTACAATAGTACCTATATATTGTTTTTAATTAAATTTTAATTTTTTAATATTAATTATATATTAATTTTTTTAAATTAATAGTATACTACAATAATATCTATATATTGTTCATTATAAATCTCATAATAACAATAAAAAATGATATTCTAAATAAAGTATAAAAATAATATAAATATATATTTAACAATAAACGTAGATTATTTTACAAATATGCTTCATAAATTATTTGCATTTATACATTGTGTTAGAGGTCATTAATTATTCATTTATGTATATTACGCATTCAAAAATTATAATTAAAATATTATATTCAAAATTTAATTGAAATACAAAATTTAAAAGATTTATAATCTTCTTCCTGGCATTTAGCTTAAAAATGCTCAAGTTAATAATATCATCATTTTTTTATAAGGTCAGCTTCTTTAAAAATAGAAAAAAATATCTTGATCTTGCGATGAAATTCGTCCGTTGCTCGATACGTATATCACAAGACCTTTATCTCGCCCCGATGAAATTATTATCTCTTGACTTGCATAGCTCTTTCCCCGTGGCAAGTATCTTTATAATTACATGTGGACTTATCAACAACAACGTCAGACATTAGACAATGAGGTCCTTCGGAGCAAAGTCTAAGTCACTATTTTTCTTCGAACTTGTAGAGCAAGATAAATGAAAGGCCGCGTCTTGCACTACCTTATCGCGGCACAAACAAACTTAACCATTCGCCAGTTTATTTCTGCCTCTTTGTTTGCCAATGTCTATTTCCTTTTACTTTCCGTTTTTTATATTTTCCAAGACTTTTTTCTTTCGCTCAACCATTTTTTTTCGTTGCTTTATTTTTTTCGTGTTTTTGTGAATTTATAAGTCTCATTTACTCCGACTGTTTTTTTTTTATGGTTCAATTCATTGTTATCCGATATCATTATTTTTTGTAAGACATTCTTCATTTCTTCACTTCTTCATTTCCTGTTAATTGCAAACGAAAATTAAAAAAAAATATTTAAAAGTGTAAAAACAATTATATTAAGCATGGAGTATTTGAATCAAAGTTTCTCTTAATTGAAATTATCAAAATATTATCTTAATGATTTTTACAATTTAATCGATCGATATACGCGTTGAAATGCAAGAAATAAATAACATGGACAATGATTCAAATTTCTTTAAAAATGTTGACATCATTTTAAACTTTTTAACCTTTCTACCTCGATATTAAGTTATTGATAAAAGATAGACACGAATAAATTTTTTTATTTATGAATGCTAAAAATAATGAACAATAATTATTGATTGTGGATTTATATTTCATAATAAATTAATTCAATAATTAAAAGTGCTTGTGTATTTATTGATTTTTTATATTATACTGATAGATATACTAGGATAATTATGCATATATATATATATATATATATAAATACGAGATGTATATTTATTTTGTATATTTTATATGGAATTTCACTCGTAATAGCTAATAATAAAATGTGATTCTAAATTATATTTGATTTTCTATAAAATAAATAGAAAATAAAAAATAAAAGTAATTAATTGTATTCGGAATTGGAGCATCTTCCAAGAACTTTCAAATGGGAGAAGTATAAGTCTTCTAACTCCTTTGTTTGTAAACATTGATTCAGCGAATTCTCGAATATTCTACGCTTTGTTTTCGAGTGTCCTACAATATTTCCGCATAGCAACGTCGATTGGAAATTCTCAAACCTTCTAAAGCCTTGCCTTTCTGGAATCCCCGAATTTTCTAGAGCTTAGTCTCTGACGTCATGCAAGACTTTCCGCATAGCAACACCTATGCATCATTGCCAGCTAAGTAATCTGCCGGGCGGATATTTAAAGGAAGCACACGGCGAGCCTCTCTCTCTCTCCCAGTGAAACCGACTAAGTGAAGACACCATGGCATTGATCACGGTTGTCTTAGAGGGACCGCCATGGGTGATACAGTCAGTATCTCTCAGCAGAGTCCGAAGCCAAGTCGTCGCTTGTAACCGCATAAAATCATCGATTAAGTCGTCGATCTCCGCACTATTCAGCGTAAACCTTACAGATCCGATTGAGAACCTCTTGTGCCCCAAGCGCACGAAGCAGTGGCAGATTTACCTCGACTACCAGTGCAATACATCACGAGGATCCGGAATGAAGTGCATACTAACGCCAACTGTCAACTGCCACAAAATCCCAAGAGTTCTTCCATTGATTTCACCAACAAGAATTATTTCTGTATTTGGAAATTAAAAGGAATAAACAGCACAACAAACAAATGTGTTTAATATTGAATTAATAGGCTATCCCTTCCACTTGCCCACAAATATCTCCCCATAATACCTCATAGTCTTTTAGTTAATTCTAAACAAATTGGTTTTTAGCACGTTCGTAGTAAAGAAGTGAGCAAAATGAATGAAAACCTACATAGTATCGTTTTTCAGATATAACAATGATTTATTATTAAATTATAATAACTTGGATTGTTTTAAGTTAAAATTTAAATAACATGAATGTTATTTATATGTAGAGGTTATACTATATGTTGCATAATAAATTTATTTATAAATAATTGATTTGGGGACTTATATATTTTTTAAATATGTTATAAATAAAACAATTAGAAAAATAAGCGATTATGTTTTATATTTATTATTTAAAATTGAGTAAAAACAAAGATTACGATTTTTAAGTTATACATAGTAATATAATAATATAATTGGTTCAATTTTATAAATATATAAAAATTAGTAAATTTAAGGAAAATTAGGATGCAACACTTATTAAAGCTTCTGAGTGTATCAAAAGAACAAAATTATATCTTACATGTCCATAAAATTTGTATACGTATAATATATTATAGTATATTAAGTTATAACATTAATATAACCAAGTATATAACGTTGTTAATGTCCACATAAATACAATTATCTATTCAAACCATAATTATTATATACTATTAATATTCATCAAAGTGTTGAAATTTCTTTCTTTAATATATTAATTTTATTTCCTTCATTAATATATTGATAAAATAAATATAAAACATGAAATACTCATTAATGACGTTATTATGTTTTACAGGTGTTACACAAAATTTCAGAAGTTTTGGAACCTATTCAGCCACTTCGAAGTTCTGAAATTATTTATAATCCAAATGCTTTCCAGTTTCTAAATCAAAGTGAAAATTTGAAGTTGGAAAATCATCGTGTTCGGTTTGTACAATACTTACTATAAAATAAAATATTGTAATTCACTTAAATTTAAGTATACTTATAATTTTCTCGGAATTCTTATAATGTATTAAAAAATTTTATAGTTGCATTGTTTAGAATTCCAGTCATCCATTGGTGGAAGGACCAGGATGGTTGATATTCGAAAGTGATATTATTTCCTGGCTCGAACTATCAATACTTCGATAGCTTTAATAATGTGCCGCCCGCCCTAGCAGATGCTTAGGTGGGAGTCAAGTGGGATTGTTATAGAAACATGTAATATGTGCAAACTTCATTAACATATGGTTTATTAAAAGTTGCACTAAGAATAAACAGTATTCACTTCTCACAGAAGAGTGTAACCTCTATCTTGTTTCAATGACAATTGCTCCTTGATTGAGACGATGTCGTGGCTTCTGCTTGTGTTGTTAAGACTAGCAGAGATATGATCATACTCCAGTGTAGGATGTGTGGTCTTTAAGGGTATATATGATCAAAAACCTGTATAGGACGTGTTGCCTTGAAATGTACAAAAGCACGTACCTTGAGACTATGCTTGTTGTGACAGTCTAGTTTCTCGTTATGCAGTCAGCACCCTTGACTGATTATAAGTGTAGCACACTTGGTAATTAAATGTGTATCTCTTGGGATGGCTTCATTGCGTGATATAAGTGAATAATCGAAAACACTGGCTGTATAACGTAATGACTTAAAACTGTTTGTCTTACTAATTCACAACGAGCTACTGGGCGTAGCGTGCTGTCCTTAAGAATCGACGCGACAAGCGACGTTATTACTCGAAGACTATATAAACATTGTAGACCATTTTAAATCAAGATATAACAAGTACATGAAAATTCTCGTCCCAAGTGATTACCGAAAACTGAGAGGTAGAGAGACTAGTGATACCGATAGTCAACGGTCTTGGAAATTGCTTCTATCCCGAACATTCCGCCTGCCATTAACAATTTATTGATGATTCCTTTCACCAGGGATTGGTACTACTGCCAGTTTATGGATTAATCTTGTCATGGTGGTCGAAGCTCTTTTTAATGTAACTACTCGAGTAAATGCATCCTTGCCAGGATGGATGTCGATGACGCGATCCAAAGGCCACTTGCAATGGTGAGAAGCGTTAATCATTAATAAACACCAGCGAGTCAATCTTAATGTTATTCCTTGGGTGATGCCATTTAGAGATTGGCTGTTGCTGCTGTAAATAATGAGCTGCCCATTTCACTCGGAATTGCTGGTACGTTGTTGAATAAATTGCCAACGAGACAATCCTGATATGGACAATTCCTTGAGAGATGGTTCTGGAATGGTGGTGAGGAGCTTCCAATTAGGAAATGTCCGGGGGTGAGTACCGAAATATCTTCGAGGTCGTCACTGATCAGTCCTAAGGGCCTTGAGTTACGGATTGCCTTGATTTGGGCAAGTAGAGTGGTCAGCTTTTGAACAGTTATCAAAGTTTCTCCGATGGTGCGTCTTACGTGGTATTTTACTGATTTCACCACAACTTCCCATTTGCCTCCCATGTGGGGCGTTACAGGTGACCCATTGTGAGTATTGATTTGTAGTAGTGTACCTTCAATTTACCTGTGTTCAAGGATGCCTTGTATAAATAGTCTCTTGAGAGCGGAATCAGCCCCAGTGAAGGTCATACCACAGTCTGAATACAACGTAGCTGCAATTCCTCAATGGGGAATTAACTGCCTGTATACGGAAAAGAAGCCATCAGCTGTATAGTCGAAGACTGCTTCGAGAGGTATCGCTGATGTGGCAAAACACACAAAAACACAAATCTAGAAGTAAAGTACTGAGGATCGCCCAGTGTTGCTTTTCAAGTGTGGCCAATTGTGTGGTGTTGGTTCAAAAGACAGAATCGCAGTGGTCAATGTTTTGAGAATGTGAGCCTGTATAGTGACAATCGAATTCGAATGGATTAAGCGGAGAGTGAGTGACATAACACCTTATGTCTTGGCTGATCGAGCTTCCCAAGTCACTGAATATAAATAGTGGTTCCCACCATGGTAAAACTAATACACAAGCTGGCAGTGCTACCAATCCCTGAAGATAAAAATAATCTTCAACAAAATTGACGATGGCGGGCTGTATGTTCGAAATTGGAGCATTTATTCGAGGCTTTCGGTTCTCGGAAAGTTTACATTTTCTCTCACCAAATTCCCGACTTGCTCAAAGCTTAGATTCTCGAATGTTCTACAAAGCTACTTAGCCTTGGCTAGTTGTAGTTAATTTCAGTTGCCGCGCTGATACTTACGAAAACACACATCAAGACTCCACGTAATTAACACAAAGCAGTCATTCAGTACATAGTGTCGTCGGTAGACAGTGTCAGTTATTCCTCCGAGTCAGTTACTTGTCCTAGTCAGTTATCCACGCTCTAGCCACGTCTTAAACGGAGTCTGTAGCAGAGAGAAAGTCACGCAACACACGCTCTCTCAATACAGCCATTACGAGGAACATACGTTCAATTCTCCAGTGCGCAACGGTTAACAAACAGTCAAGGGCTGACTACCGTTCTAGAAAATAGTCGACTACACAAAGCATGGTATCGGACTCTTCTATACCTAATAACTACCACAGAGACATTCCCATAATCCTCTTATGAGTATGGTTGATTCTCCCTGCTAATCACTGTTACATACCGCAACCACATTCCCATGCTCGCCTTATGAGCATGGTCGGCTCTTGCTAACCATTACAACGACCATTAGCAGAGACCTCAACAGGTCATATTCCCCTTCACGAAATATATACAATTCATTGCTGATCCCTACAACGTCATCAACGATATCGTCACCATCACCAAGGAGCAACTACATCATTGTGATAGAACATAAGTCACTCTCTCTGACGAAAATTCAATACAGAACAACAATAGTGTAATTGTGAATAAAACCAAAAAAACGATGTCCTAACTTCATAAGGAATTAGCATTGCTAAGGCGAGCGACAAATAAACTGACTATCGAACTTGGCAGTTCAAGCCAGAAAACTACATTTATTTGATCCTTCAAACCGGATTCAAATAAACAAAAAATTTCGAACATTCGAATATAAAATTGGAATATTGAGTTGTTTAATGAGTTTTACGCTGACAAATGTGAGTTCTGAACCTGCGTCAATTAGAAGACGAACTTGTAGAGTAGTAGAGTTTGACAGTAATTCGGCTATGGCTGTGGCTAGTAATGTAGTCGTATGCACAGGTATTTCGACAATTGCACCATCTTCTCAGCTCGATGATTGGTTTGAGCTGCCAATGTGATTAGTCTCTGCAATGGTTATTTTATATAACAAGGTATAGTGCCGTCTGAAGCACTTCTTGCATTGTGGAGGGGTTCTGCACACCTTGACATTGTGATGTCTTAGACAGTAAGACAGAGTCCTTGATTTCTTACTGGATTATGTTTCTCTACAGTTGACATGTTCATGAATTGTGAACATGTAAGGATTGAGGAGCAACATTCACATGTATTGAGCTTGTGTTTTTGTGCCGGAAGTTTGGGCTGGGCATTGTTCACTGATACTTGATAAATCCTTGATGTCCTTCTCATATGGTATTGTGGTGGTACAGCGTTTCTGGATACTCGTCCAGAGTCTTTGGGTTAATCCTTTAGTGAACTTATATCCTTTAGTGTTCTCATACGATATGTCAGGAAGTTTACAAATTATTCAAGGCACGGGTATTTCCCTTGTGGCATGATCGAGCCGTCTTGAGATCACATATACCGAAATCTGCGAGTCCTTCTAGGACTAACTTGAGGTGCTTCATTGCTTTCTGGATATTGTTGATGGGCTTTTTCAATTCTGACTGTTCTCCTCTTATTGGTTTTGAATCTGCGAATATTTGACTGAAATATGATTGGATAATTAGACGTTCATTATCGTAACAGTTTGTTAGTAGCTTCCAAGCCGGAGCGAGGGAGTCGTTTGTCAATGGGAATCCAGAGATTAACTGTCCGCTGGACTTTGAACTCAGGTGCGTAGGTGATGCATTTTCTCAGCGTCGCTGTATTCATTGTCGTCTAGAACCAATGCGTTGAAGAGATTGTGAAATTCACGCCAGTGAATTCCTGAAAATGTTGAAAGACTAACGGTTGGAAGTCGGACGCCTTGTATCTGTGCCTTGGTTGGTGAGAATTCTTTCAAACTAGTTTCGTTATTGAAGAATTGACGATGTTTAATGATGACTTTTCGATCCATGTTTTATTGTATGTGTTCCTCCTTATAGACTATTTTCGCAAAATATTCGTGCTTAGTTTGAGCAGATGACCAGCTGGCGTCCAAGTGTGCATGAGCCTTGATGACGGCTTTATGCAATTCTTCGACTTGTGACAATGTATCATTAAATCCATCTAGTGATATATCGCATTGTAATCACTCACATTCCTCAGTCAATTTCTTCATAAAGATACGAGACCATTAAGTATCTGCCTTTCTCTCATATTCAGTGGGTAAAGGTGTTGGTGAAGCATTCCGCAGTGTGGATTTTCTGGAACTCTTAGTGTTTCTTCCTTCCACGACATTCTTGGTTGCCATGTTGTTATTGACTTGCATTGAAGAGAAGTGGGAGTTCGTAAATCTTCCAAGAGATCGTGTGGTGATGTTCTTGGTGGCGAGTTACTATACCAAGAAGTGGGAGGTCGTAAATCTCCCGGTGCTCCTTAGTGTAGTACCATATATTGCTGAATATGCAATGATTTATAATGTAACTATTCAATTTTTGAAGTTGTACTTATGCACGGCACTGGTGAGATGTACTAACTTCCACTAGATCTAGCTCAAAGGATCAAATGTTGGAAAGTAGTATTATTTCCTGGCTCGAACTACCAGTGTTTCGATAGCTTTAATACTTTGACGCCCGCCCTCGCAGATGATTACGTGGGAGTCCAGTGGAAGGGTTATAGAAATGTATAGTATATGCAAACTTCGTTAACATATGGTTTAATAAAATTTACATTAATAATAAGCAGGATTTACTTGTTACAGAAGAGTGTGAACTGTCTTGTCTCAATGATGAGGTTACTCCTTGCCTAGTAGGCTTTTGATGGCCATTTGTTTGTACTTACAGAGATACAGTTGCCTTGCCCGATCCTGTGAAGAGTGCCTAGATATTGCGTTTCTAATAGTCTTGTCCGTTCTTGTAATTTTAGTCAGAACTCTTGATCGCCTATAAATTATTGCACACTTGAAAATTGAACGTGTATTGAATATAATGGCTTCGCTCTATTGATGTAACTGAGTAACTAGCTTATAACTGTAAAGTCTGGTTGAATGATGTAATTACCATGAGCGCCTACATGCCTGTTGAGTACACACACGAAACTGAATGCTTGTTCGTTCCTTGTTAGCTCTGCTAAGATATACCGACTGTTCCATGTCGGTCCTGCTAATACAGTCCGTGATCCGTGCCATGGCGTCTTCACTGAGAGAGTAAAGCTCGTCGCTTGCTTCCTTTAAATATGCGCGCGGCAGCTTACTTAGCTGTTGCTATGCCGACAGTCTTGCATGACGTCAGAGACTAAAGCTTTAGAACTTTCGAGAACTCCAGGGAAAAAAGGGTCGTATGACACTCGAAAATAAGGCTTAGAATAGTCGAGAATTCGGGGAATTAATCTTTACAAACACGAGAGTTAGAGAAGGCTTATACTTCTCCGACTTTCAAAGTCTTGGAAAATGCTCCAATTCCGAACATACATAATTTTTTGAATACATAAAATTAAAAATTATTTAACTATTAATTTATTGATATATCAATCATTTATATAAGTATTTCTTATAAATTTATTAATATTTATCATATAAAAAATTAATTATGTTATATTCTAATTATTTTTTTAAATTTTCATTATTAATATATTTCTTAATAACTATCGAATTTGTATAAAGCTTCTATTATATTACTCATAATTTCAAATTATAATTTATCAGCATAAATAACACTTTATTTTATCAATTAATATTGAAAGGTAATTTACATGCATTATGCCTTTGTGTGTTGTTAAATATCATTGGTTGCTATGATACATAGATAATTAAATAGGTATTAGTGTTCTGGATTGTCGTAGTTCTCACGAATTTAAGACAAAGTGGGTCATACGCGCTGTACGGCTCACGGCACACGCACTCGGGCGAATGTTTATAAACAAAACTCGGCGAGTCCGAGCAAGTTTTACGACATGAAATCTAATATACTATAAGATCACACAAAGGAAGAACGCCTACGAAACTTCTAAAAGCTTCATTTTCTAATGCCACAAAAAAGTTGTCGGTATAGCGATAAGCGGCGACACTGTTGTCGGCGTTGCATCCTGCTGCATTTTTATTTAAGGGCAGCTCGCCTGGCGATATTCATTGTAATCCTTCTTCACGCACATTTAACTATAATTGCCGCTCAGTGTTTTAGTATATACTCTGACGACGACGCGTGGCCATATTTTCGGCAGCCTAGTAAATAATATACCTGTACATTATTAAAAGGAAATTGGCAGATTTAGTAGTGATTTACAGTGAAGCCAATTGGAATGGTAATCAAAGGGGAGATCAATTACGCAGCAACTAATACACCTAGCCTGCAGATCGCAAGGTACACCTTTATATTAATAAATAAACTAGTCATATCTCGCACAAGAATAAAACGGGCAATTTTACATTCTCTCGATCGAACCAACACTTCGACCCCGTACAGGCCCACAAGAGTCAATCGGGCAAATTTACGGTTTCTCTCTCGAACCAACGCTTCGACCCCGTACAGGCCCATACGAGTCGACTCAAGCGACGCAATTCGTCAAGCACATTGTCAAGACGAGACAACAATATATTGAATAATCGATTACAATTGCATTTCATTACGTCTTTCAAGAGCACGAAAACTTATCATTAATTACTCTTGTGTGTGACTAGCCCTTCTACTGCCCCCATAAATAATTAAAGACACAATTGATTACTTAATATATGCCATTAAACATCTTACACCATATCAAGTATAGTTATTCATACATCAAGCATACATGATTCAAACACCATCTTCTCATGCTACCTCACAAGCATGATTGATTGACTACATCAGCATTACCTCAACTTCAAGATACTCAGTCATATCCATGGAAGCTACAATAATCAAGAATACAAGGACACACTCTCATTACTACAATAGCATAATCTTCTCTAGCCACAACATTGCAATATTATTATAATTATTACCAAATAATAAACATTGATCTTACTAAAATTACATTATATATAATATTTTTCAGCCCTTCCACTTATTATTTCCTTTAAAGTTATCCTGGCGAGAGACTAATCCACTGAACTATTGAATTGGTAGTTCGAGCCGTAAACTAAACCTTTAAAATCGAACAATTAGTAAGTATCGTTTCCGAATTTCTATTATGTTTCAGAACTTTCCAACAACGAGTAAAGCTAACTGAGAAGAGCAATATATTTTCTGCTGAGGGAAAATTTACTTTCTTCATTCCTGTGGATGAAGGATTCAAAGTATGTATATATATGATTTAATTAATAATAATTTTTTAAAGGGTATTCCTAAAACTATTGTTTAATATTAATTAAATATAATTGAAAATTAGTTTAGTTAAATTGAATAATAAAAATTTTAATTTATTTAGTGTATAATAAGTAAAGGATCAAGTCAAATTCGTATTTTAATTTAAAAAATTATCTTATTTCATTAAAGTTAATAGAAGATTTTATTAGTAAAATCTATATGAATAATCAAAGTGATTTTCCTATGGAATTACTTTTAAATTCTGTTTGTTTCATAGTTTCAACGTATAATTTTAAATCCATATGTCATATTTTATTAGTTTGGCGTAAAGTATTTGAAAAGCTTTTAACTTTTGGCATACTGCGAGTGAATTGAAAAGAATTTTACTCATTTTTTTAACTTTTTATTTGCTATAATATATATGCGTAAAAGTTTTTAACGTAATCGTAAATATATTTATGACGTACCCAAATTAGTACTTATTAGAGGAAGAAATAGTAAATACAAGAGATCCCAAATATAGAATAAAAATTTCACATGAAAATTACTAGCTATTGTATTTATTTATAAAGTAAAAAATTTCAAATATTTTTTAATAGGTTTTATCTAAAAAATATTTGTAAATCTTTTTTTTTGTAATTGATCTAATTTTTACGAATAATTTATAAAAGCAAACTAATTTCTAATTATTGAATCTTTTTTATCGGTTAAATTATATCCTCGTGATTTTTGTAGATCGTGGTTCCAAATTTTAAAGGATAACCATGTAAGGATTGTATTAAAACAATGTGCTTATTCGTAAATTTATGTTTTTTTACTTTTTTGTTTTATCGTGGCTTATTCTATGACACGTGGAATCCGAGTAATTTTAAAGTAATAGAGGTTGCAGCGCAGACGATTTTTTGCGTTGTTATCCATGCGTGCTTTCGTTCCTTTTCTTCTCTTCACTTATGTTTTTGTCTGCGTTTTTACTTCCACCTTTACTTTTCATATCTTTTTCGCTGCTTGGCTTTCTTGTGAGTGATGTAAATGAGAATTTTATTTCGTTAAAAAGGTATGGAATTTCTTGTTCGGACTATCATTATTGTGCAACATGTTATATATTGATGTAAAAGAAAACAATTATATAAAATAATAATATATTATAAATTAATTTTTTAATAAATACAGAATTTAACACATCACATATTAATTAAAATTGCGATGTGCATCCAATATCAATCTATTAATATTCAAAAAAATAATCAACAGTATGCTTTACTTATGCAACGCTTGTATTCAGCGCAAAAAGTATAAATAAATCCTCCTGTTAATTTAATAATAATTAAATGAATATATTAAAGAAGGTTTGTTGAATTGCAATGATTTATTGATTATATGTCGAAAATAAAAGTCAACTAGTATCAATTTGATTCTTCTATCTAAAATAATTTTTGCTAATAAAAATTAGTTCATAATTATAGAATTATAATGTTCATTTATTTTATATGATTTAAATATTAGAGAATTTATAATAAGAATTGGGGATTAATACTATAAGAAGATTAAATGAATTTTTTGTGAAAGTCATATAATTTCTTTATTAAATTGCAAGAAGATTTTCTATTAATATTTAAGAGGTTTCACCGAGTTATTCATAAATGAATAATGATTCTAAAAATTTCTTATCAATTCAAGTCTTTAACGAAAAAAGTACCGAAGGCGTAGTACTTTATAGTAATTAGATTAATTAGATTAATTTGAATATAGGCTATCATTAATATTTTACTAATATAACTTTAAGCAATAATTGAATTGTAAACTGAAAAACTAAAAGTACTGAAAATGTACAAAAATATAATGATAAGAGAAGTACATATACGTGTATTATTCAATATTTGTATTATGTAATAGAAATAAATTTAGTACGCTTATAGTGTATGAATGAATATTTACATTGAAAATGTATATTTATAACATAATTACACGTATATAAAAATGGATTTTTATTTATTATTTATTTATATATTTATTATTTAAATTTTATTATGTGCTATCATCCATTGAAAAAATACTTTGACTTAAAATAACGTTTTGAAAAGCATTAAAAACTAATTGTTTTAATATTGTATTCTTTCCTTTATTAGCATATAATAAAATATTTGTAATATTATTATAAATGAATATTTATCTTACGCATTTGTCTAAAGAAAATATAGTTCTTATTTATTATTTCAGATTTCATCGAAATCTTTAAAAACTTTTTCACGCTTGTTAGGAATGTTGATTCTACCCTTTGTATTATCTGTAACAGAATCAATTTCTGCCAATATATGTTTTTCTTCACTGTTGATTCGCATATTCGTTGATGTTATTTCCCTGCAGTATTGCTAATTTGAGTTGTATTACAATTGTTCTATAAAGTTCATCAACCGCGCTTCATTCTTAACGCTAACACACAGCCGTGAGAATGAAACAAAAGTTTTTAAATGCTTTTAATCTTCAGTAGCAGTCGAGTCAAATTTTGAGATTAAAATAATCATATTTGTCTTTTATTTTTCATAAAAAACATTTTTTATGTATTATTTTCTAAAAAGAGTATTCAATGTAATTTTCATTTACTGTACATTTGAAGTTTGATATGCTGTAATATATTTCATGGGCATACTCATTATAGTGATATTACTTAGCAATTTCATTTAAGGTACATGCATTGCTTATTCTTTAATTTATTATTAATGAGCATTTTGTACTAAAAAAGCATTAAATTATATAGACTACATAAAATTTTATTTAATTTTATATGAAAATATACTACGAAAATTCTATTTTATGCTCAATATAATATTAAATTTATTTAAAACAAATAACAAATCTTTCATAAGCAGAGAGAATAGCAAGTATAGTTTAAAACTAAATCGTTTAAATTGTGTAATAATTTTAGTTATACATTTATATTAATCTTTATTATTAATAGTAATAGAGCATACTAGAAATAAAAATAATAACGCCGACTATTAATTATAAATTAAAAATTTTAAACAATACTTTCTTCACATTTTAACAATACTAAACCAATATTTTTTGTTATCAACTAAATATTACTATAAAATTGATAATTAGAGATATTAAAGGCTGGTAGAAAAATGGGTTGACATTAATCTTAATAATTTACTTCAAATTATTCTTATGAGCGTCAATTGTTTCAACGTCGATAACGTTTAAAAATAGATTAAAAATGAAAAAAATATCATTAAACCCTAAATAAATTACTGATTGTTCTGATTGAGTAAATATATACAGGATGAAATTATAAAATAATTATAAAATGAATTTTTTATCGACAGGTTTTGTTTTCATTATTATTTTCTTAGAATTTTAATAAACGAGCCCTAATTTATACATTATCAAATATAATGAATTAATATAAATCATTCTAGTAAATTCATGAACTACATTTTAATTAAGCAAATATTTTAATGCTATTTACTATACATCGTACTATTTAAATTATTCTGAATTATCTGAAAACATAAAATATCACAATAAAGTCCAACAAAAATAAATATGTTGAACATTACAGCGCACATTTCAGCGTGTAAATATAGATGATAGATACAATTGCCCTCCTCTCTGCATATCTGTTTATAAAATATAAAAAAATTGACCACCACTATGTTACTTTTATAATCTCTTTTTTTCATCATAGCCATTGCCGCGTGCCGACAAAATCGATCGCCAGGTAATCGACGGCCATGTTATACCGAATCATGTACTCTTCACCGCCCCCACACCCAGCAACAAACCTTATGAAACTCTTGCTTTCGGCGACAACCTCAAGGTTACCATTAGCTTTTCTACTGACCATACGGATAAAAACACCGAAAAGTGTGAGTATACATTCGGACTAATAATGAATAATTAATGTGCTTAAAAAACTTTGAAGGTGTAGGTCAACGTACCTCTTATCTCTTATAGATAAATTTATTTGTAATTTGCCGATTAGACGTAGGAGTAATTAATAAAACATTATATTACCAATATTCTTTAATGTTATCCATCTAAGCATGGATATTTGAATGCAGAAGTGTTAATTGACCTATAAAAAGGTTTATAAAATTATATTTTATATTACAATTTTTGCTATTACTTTCATGTTCTAATATATAATTTTTTAATATACAATTTTTAATTAAATCCGAACTTTAAAATACATTTAAAAAATTAATCTTTTATAATCCTCCATTTTGGGTTATTATTTTTTCCTCTATTTTTAAAATGTTTCCTTTTTTTTTACTTTTGACCTTACCTTGCTTTTACGTTTTTACTTATGAAACACTTAATAAATATTTATTAATTAAAAATTAAGGCTTATGATATATGTAAAAACTAATTTATAAATTTTTTTGCTAACATTATTATAAACATTGATTTTAATATTTAACATTGATTATAATACAAAACATATGAGAATGAGACTCTTTTTTTAATGCAATAAAACATCTGGCAAGTAATATCATGAAAATTGTATTTAAGACTTCAAAACTTTCCTGCTCATAATTATTTTGCACTAATGTCATAAAACATCTGGAAAATTCTAGCGAAACGTGCTCATGCTCCCAGTGCAGTAGAACGTAATGGGTTTACTGCCGCGAGAACCCCAAAGTAGATTCAGAACGAATATCAGATATGCGTGAAGCATTTAGTACAAATATTTACTGCAACCGAAAACCCGTACGTACTACACATGCAATGACCATACGTGTGCACTCGGCCTTTAAGACAATGCTTGCATTGTTCTTGGCTATGCCACATCTGGTCGATCATATTGGAAAATTGACCACGCCCAAGCGGACCCTTCTTCTAGCCAAGTCCCAGAGAGGGATGAGGCAACCAAGGAGAGGTGACCAATGGAAAAGGCTCGCCACCTTCCGACACTTTCCCGATTAGCAAATTCGGAACTGAGCCCGGAAGGAAGTGGAAATGAAGGCGTGCATAATCTATTGTGCGACCCAAGATCAACCACTGATTGGTTAATTAATAAAGGAAGAAGGGATCCCAAGTGGAGCGGGATCAGTGAA